TTCAACATGGTTGAGATTCCCGGCGAACCCATTGACTTGCAAGAGTACGACGGTCTTTCTGGACGATCGCCTGTTCCCTTCCGCATCAAGCTTGTGCCACGCCATGATAACGTCGCCAAAGTCCTTGGGCTGTAGATGCCAATCGGAGTGGTGAAGTTTTATCATAATAATGTGGTAATTTGTTAGCGATGGCGAAGGACTGTCACGTAGATGTATTGTAAAGCCTCCTCGATGTTTTGTTGACTGACTGCTTTTATCAATGAGAATGTTTTGCTTACCTATACGCTAACAGTTCACGATGCGGTGTAAATAGGCCTAATCAACTTATGCTACAAAAGTTGGTATTTGATGAGATGGATCGTATTTTGTTTGGCTCCGACCTGCATTTTTGTAGTATGAGTTGGTGAGGGCTGGAAGAACGGGCTGAAGGGTTTTGAGATGATTTTTGTGGACATCGGGGAATTATTTCGCTGTATGTGCATGTATAGGTATCTGGCGAGGTTTCGCTGTCAAGCACTTCAGCAGTTTGAAATAAGCTGGAGAAAGACTGACATCCTTCATTCAAACTCACCGAAGTGTTCGGTAAGAAGACGCACTCATCGCAGAAACGTAGACCTGCTTTGTAGCTTTGCGGCTTTGTGTTTCAAAAATCCACGAGATAGACAGATATACACGAGGACCCGGAGAAAGCTTACCAAGTCATGGACCATACAATGTTGTAGAACCGGTCTTTCCCCAACGCCTACTGTGGTTTGGCCTAGTATGGATATTCTGAAAGTAGTTTTCCCAACGTGAAGCAACTAGTGCTCTTTCAGCGCAAAAGATCGATGCCGTGAAGTCATTCCCACATCTTTCGTGAGTATTGCAGTCAGCTGTATGCTCGTAGTTGATGAGCGCCTCTTTGAGTACCCTCTTCTTTTTCACCGTTACAGGTATAGCCAGAATGTTTCCTGCATAACCGTCACAATATACGACAACGAATGTATACCCTTGTACCCAACTTGCGAGTTGAACATAGTTACCTCACGCACGCCGAACAAGGAGTTGTACGATGAGACCCCGCCAGAGTGACCAATAAATCACACGGAAATTCCTATTCCACTTGGCACGAGCGAGGTACTAAGTTGGCGACGACCGCTTATGATCTCGTCCCCTGCAGAGGCCCGACGCTTTCAACAGTGCATATTACTTTTAATATCCAGGAGTAGACTGACCTCCCAATCTGAGAACACACTTCTCAGCCGTATATTTGGAAGTAACAATGAATGTTAGATGGTTTGTGAGCTGTACAACTCCCAGAGTGACCCGGTCCGATATACAGGTGTTTCACCATTCTCTTCCAACCTTTCTTCCCGCTTCCACACATGCACTTACACTAACACCACCTACCTCTGCACCAATGACCTCCATCTGCGGCCCCCATTCTCTCCTCACGGTTTTCCGGAGCTCATCCATGCGTTTCTCGTGACCAACAGTGGGTGTTGGAATGCAGGATTGGTTTACGTGAATGCGCGTGCACAAGGGTTGCGGGAGGTTCGTCGAGAGATGGGCAGACAGTTGACATAGCAAGCGATCAATGAACGAAGGTGATTCCAAGTCGGTCGTGGACAAGGTGTAAGGCCCGCCGAGCATGACGGTTAGCTTGGTGATAGGCGCCGGGACGCCATCAGGATCTGCATCCTGCTCGGGCACAGAACACGAGTCGAATACCGTGCCTAGAATGCCCATCTCATTTTGGTCTTGCGCGCCGTAGTCTGTGAACGGACGCGGGACAAGGTAGCCGAATCCAAGTGGATGCGGCGGAGGCGCTCCAGGTTGCAAGGGAAAGATGAAGCTGACAACGATCACAGTGGACGACGGGTTTGCGGTGAGATTAGGGCTCAGTTCAGAGAGACCCGAAGATGACGATGGGTTGGAAGATCGTTGCAATAGTGAATGTAATGCGTGCAATGGAAGAGCCGATACAAGATGGGAAGACTGAAGCCGACGTCCAGACGTCGTGATGACCTGCGGGGATAAAGGGTGTCCTCAGACAACGGTCAATGAAACCTTGAGCTCAACCTTACCTCGAATCCTCCGCCCAAAGATCCTTTTAACAATTGCCCCGCCTCATCATCAAGAACAATTTCTACATTGTCTCTACCTTTCAATGCTCCCTCCAGTGCGTTTGTGAGTGTCTGTATTCCATCCCTGAACGAGAACACACTCATGCTCTTCATCATGCTCTCTACATTCCCCGTGTCATATTTGTTGTTGTTTTCAGCCTTGTGGGCGAATGCCCCCCTTATCGCCCCACGAACAACACTACCCCCACCACGCGTCTCGAGTTCATACAAAGAAGGGAACGCTGCGCGCATACTCAACAAACGCGCATCCGTTGCATATATTCCATGTACAAGAGCGCTGCCGAAGGTCCGTGCGAAGTCGGAGCCAAATCGACGTGCTAAAAAAGAATCAACCGACTCGTCGAATTCGGCATCAATGCTCTTGCCGGCTGCCAGCGAGAATGGGAACTGAGCCTAATAAATTGGGAATGATCGAGTACTCACAAGGCCTGTTTGAGCCTGTCAACGCGTCCCAGAACACTGCAGGGAGGAGCACGCGCGTGAATGGTGATGTCAGGAGGCTAAATAGAGAATTTGGGATTGGGAGAAGACCATGGGTGCCAGGAAGGTGTAGGAAGCGATTGCGCGCGGCGGGTGCGGTACGCGGGACTGTGATGACCGAATTTTGAAGATTAAGCAGCTTTATCTGAGCAATGGATATAGATGAGAAGATTAGCAAAAGTTGGTGGACGTTGTATATGTAAATATGTCTCCACTGTGATGAGCCGCTTACTTGCAAAGCAAGATATAGTACTAGCTGAAACAGGCAAAACCCAGCTGTGCTCGCGCGATTAGCAAATGAAGCAATCGACGCCTGCGAAAGAACAGCATCTCCATGCCCTGCAATATTAAAGGAAACATATTCGCGGGGCGAGCAATGCACATCGCTCGCAACAATATGTCAAGGTAGATAGAGTTAAGACAATGTTGGTATGACCCCCACTCACCAATTCCAGTACAGCAAGTCCATTTGGTCTCAACGTCCTTGGACCCGCCTCAAGTAGCACTCCTACCTCCCTTGCGTCTTGATCTTCACCCAACTTAACTTTGACTCGTTCACTGTGCACCCAACCTCCTAGACGGGAAGTCTTCTCAACAAGAGTAATCTGCGAGTAGGGAAACCTCCTTGAAAGGTGAAAGGCAGAGGACAGGCCCGAAAGTCCGCCACCGAGAATGAGAATGTGCGAGGGAGATATTTGTGAAGATATTGTTGCATCCTCTGTGGGATATTGAGTATTTAGCGATCGCAGCTCCTCCCTGGAGCGAAACAAGATATTTTTAGAACCGCGATGAGCCGGCGGCCACAGTCTCCAACTGTGTATATAAAATGAGCTACGGGTGACGCACCCGAAGGACCTGGTACTGACCTGGTGAATACTTCAGACCAACGACTTGATGTCCTCACGGTCGACCTCCTGAAGGGCATCGTGAATCGTATGGATGCAGACGAGACTGGATAGTCTCTGACGGCGACCTTGCCCTTGCCACAGACCCCAGCCCATCCTGAACCAGGCGCTGCGCCCATTGCTAAAGTGCGCTGGGCTAGATTTACGGAGGGAGATATCATTCCTACCGATACCAAGCCAGATCAAGCTTGAGGCCTGAGTGGTGGCTGCCAGATCATTTGTTGGGCGACATGTATATGCGTCGGTAGAAAGGGGAAAAGTCAGGTAAAGCAACGGACAACAAGTCTTCAGTATAGCCTATTGGATCCCGTGTCTGTGTGCAGATACATATTGTAGGCAAATACATTCCTTTTCCTTTACCGACTCGCTCGCCACATCTGTCTGCCGCCAATGTTCTCGTCCTGCCGACTTTCAAGCTTCAAGCACTCCGCCATCGTTTCCGTCTCTTGAATTCCCTTGCCATTTTCGCGACGTCGCCCGTGGTCGCCGTCCCAGCCCGCTCTTGCCTCTGTGGCTACCCTGCTGGCCGGAAGCGTGATGTCCATCCACAGTCATAGTTAGTAACCACCTTGCGGCAACTTAAGATGCGTCAAACATTCAAATGGGAGAAGGAGCGTCCGCTCCGAGATTCGGGCACGAGTGCGAGCGGTAGGGCATTAGGGATGGGAGTGGTGACAGAAAAACATATAGAATGGTCTCTTGTGAGCAGAGTAGATACATCCTTCAACATTCGCGTCTGCAGGCTAAAGCGTTCGAATTAGGCACAGACGTCTGCGCACCCCTCACTGAGGCTTGTTCCACCTGTGGCTATTTTCTAGCCAATATTTTCATTGATACAAATTCACTCATTCATGGCAAAATCACCTCTGTCGTCTCCTTAACATCTGCCACGCCGAGGGAGACGTTGCAGATTGACAACAATGCGCATATTGCAAACCACAAAGGGTGAGAAGGCTTGAGGTGATCAATTGAAAGCGCGACGGATAACGTATACATATGCTGAATTATGCGTAAGCTGATACATTCTTGGCCCTCAGGCTTTAGGATTTACTCCTCTCCATCAAGCTCCTCATAGTGTCTGAACAGGCCCATGTTGAATGCCTGTCTCCGTCCGCTTTCGATGTATTCCTTGATACCCTTCTCACCCACGATGCGTTCATGCAGCTTGAAGATATTGTCGTACTGTCCACTCTCGCGGATCGCAGTCAGTCTTTTCGGGAACGCAAAGAGCAGCCCATCAACAGCCTGTAACGAATGTGGCATGTCAATGCCGGTCAATGTTTGTGAGCATTATGCGGACGACCCACATGGAATAGGACCAGGTCTGCAGTGGTCGTCTGCTTTCCGATGAGGTATGTTCTATCAAGGTTGGCTGTTGCTGGATTAGTTGAGAGGACATTCTCAAAATGTTCGAAAAATTTAGGAATGCGAGTGGCACGGAAGTCTGCCGCACGCTCAATTGCTGCGTCCTTCTGGTCCTCATAATACTTTGACACCGCTATAGGGTGGTGAACGTCGTGCGTCTGCACCAGCTAGTTGTCAAATAGCATTAGTCACCTTGACGGGAAACTTACCTCGTTGCACAAGTCCAACACAGTCAAGACCAGCTGGTTGACAGAGCTTCGCTCTTCCTCCGCCTTTTCCCTCTCTTCTTCATTTAGGTCTGTCTTTATGACATTGCTACCGATCTCTCCCGCGAGGCCGAGTATCGGCGCAATATGGTTGAGAATCGCTGAGGTCTGCGAGATCACGCGGCCTGAAGGGAGCTCAAGTACAGGCGGGGCGTAGTGAACTGGGTGCCCGATCTTCGAGACGTTCTTGATCGTCGGGAGCAGCGATTTGGCGTCGTTCATTTCTACGTATGGCTGGCCAGCATACTCAAATGCGAGGCGGATGAATTCGCCTCGTCCTGGTATGCCTGACCACTGTCATGATTGTAAGTACCTGTAAAGCTCGCGACACAAACTATGATACACACATAGTACAGAGTATAACCAGCAGTCCTAGCTTTCTTTTCTGGAGGAACCATACTGGAGACAGGACTAGTAACACGAACAGTTCGAGCGCGTTGTACACGGATGATAGGATACTGCAGCTGAAATGCAGCCGGCGGGTAAATATAGCATTATCTGCATCCCTTCTCCCTTCTTATATCAAGTCTGCTAGATGACGTCAGTGTCCTGTTGGTGCAACTGAAAGTGCATCTAACGAAGGACTTTGGACTTCTCCCCCAGCACATGGACGTACAAGGCAGTGCTATCTGAAGTTCGTGTGGCCACTCCCGCGCGGCATGCTTGTCCGGCAGCTGCGATACCCACGGTAGGATATAGGGCACTCCTCATCACTCCATACACCGAGTGGGAATGGTCTCGTACCCAGACGTGTCGAAGACACGTGGGCACGAGACCAAGTGAGAACATCTTTAGGACACGCTCTAGAACAAACCGGAAGACTTCGGGAAGACCGACCAAAGTCACATTAAACTGTCCACATGGACACAAGTTTCGTATTACTAGCTCTAGATTTTCCCTAGCAGCAGATTTTTAATCATCTCTCGAGCGGATACTCGGACGGTGTGATATAATGACCAATAGTCGAGTGTTGACGAAAACACATCCAGTAAGCCGAAAGGCATCATCAATGGAATCCATCCTATGGCATCCATGTAGGTGTCAATAGCGTGTGTCGGAACACAAGCAACAAACACGCACCTCTCGCGTACTCAAGCGCGAAGCATCCCTCATGCATCTTGTATTGCTTCACATGTCCTCGCGGCAGGTGGTGCACACTTCCAGCTGGATACCTCTCCATCTCCAGATTCGGCGGGTTAAACGCCCACTGTTCTCCAACAAGGATGTTGAAATAATCGTCGGCGGTGTGCAGACCAGTGTGTCCTTCCGTACCAATAGGCGTGCCGAAGACAATGAGATATTCGGTAATGCTTGCGTGGATGACGTACATCCCGCCCATCGCGCCCCCCGCGTTGCTGAGTACCCACTCAGACGAGTTGGGGTTTACCGCGATAATAGATGAAGGGTATGTCGCGGTGAGGTTGTTAACGATGTAGGAAATCATGAAATTGATGTCATTTGGCTCAGGTGCCGCGGCAATGGCGGCTTGAGAGAGCTGATGCAGGCTCGTAGGATCGAGGACATACCACCTATCCTATAATGCATCGAGTACCAGCGGATTGGAGACACTAGCCGTTAGAAGGATTTCGAGTTATATCAATCACAAATGGACGCACCTTGATCGTGTCTAGCCATCTACACCCCGCAATGAACAAGGCAAACCACACTGAGCGCATGATCCACTTCATAAACCATGCATACACGCCGCCTGACGGCTTTGGCGCACTCGATGTCTTTTTCGCCGCCATAAGATACGTAGTGCGTCACGTCTCTGGGAGCGGTGGCGGGAAACAGAGAACGTGTAGACCGGTGGCAATCCGCTGTTGATATATATACGGTTGATGCGCTGTTGCTAACGAAATACTGCCAACGCGATCCGCGGTGGGCCCGGCGCGTAGTTTACAAAACTCGTACGACGCGAGAACGCGACGCGTCGCAGAAATCGAACCACACCATACCGGTCCGGCTCTGATTGTTGGAAGCAATTGATCGACCCGCTCGCGAACCGATCTCGTGCGAGGCGGCCAGCCACGTTGTCGCCGAGATCACTGACGGGGCCAAGCTAGGCGCGTTCCTAGTGCTCGTCTTCCTCCCATCCTCCACCCTCCACCCTCCAGGCAGCGTCTCGATACCCTTTCCCTTGATTTTCGACAACAGTCATCTCATCTCATCTCCACTCCCCCTCTCAGCGCCAGATTATCCCGACTTTGATATACTCAAAGCCAATTCACTCAGCACGCGCACAGCATGACAACTCGCGGCCGAAAAGTAGCGAACGGCGAGCCCTCACTGGACCCATCTTCGTCCACTTCTGCTCTGAATGGTGCGAATGGCGAAACAAAGCTAGTCGTTGACGGCGTTCTTGCGACCGCGCTTGCGCCCTCCCTCGAGCACAGAGAGGAGGTCAAGGTGAACAATGCAAGCGTGACGGAGATGAAGCACGCGTGTGATGATGCTTTGAAACGAGTCAGTCCCTTTCGCTGCCTGTTCCGTCTAAACTTCTATCTCTGGGTGGTGCGGGGCGCTCTCCTGTATGTCGCGTGCGCGGAGAGCTTACCTCCTGTGTGCGGCATGTTCAGATAGCGCAGTATGGTAGTATTGAGCACTGCACTTATAGATGGAGGGCTGGCACCATCCAAACAATATTTTATCCTACCAATGTTTTGGAACTGAAGCATTGACATACCTGCGTGGGATATATCCATGGTCTCGTGCCACCTGCTCTTGTCTGGAACTGTATGTGCCTTTCCAGTGCGGGGTTCCGAAGAAGTCACATTGAGCGTTGATTTCGAGAAAGCCTTCATTTCTTTCATCGTTTGATATCTTTCTTTTGCACTCTTTTCTATCTTGACAGGGTTAGGCTGACGTGCCAATCATATTCGCAGTTTCTCTCGCGCCCCGACCTCTTCAAGCAAATTTACACGCATACGGACGTCCGACTAGCACTTGGTTGGGCCAGTGTCTTTGTCGCAGCAGGGACGGCGCTGTACGGTTATAAAATTGCCTTTGAACGAAGCAAACCTGTCGTGTGGGCAGGCCTGATACTGTGCGTCTCTCGCTAGAAGCATCTACTACATTTACTGACTTGTTACATACTACAGCTATGTTCTGTTAACAACAATTCAAACACTCTATGCGTACTTTGTCGAAGGCGACATTGTATTCGTAGGCAAACGCAAGACCTTTGACAAGCGTGTATGTAACCATGCTATTTTGCAGTATAAATTTGATGCGACCCGCCAATCTAGATTGTAACAGAACGGATAACACTCACATCCACAACTACACCATCTACTCCGTCGTCACCACCGGCATACGCGCTCGGACTGACCTATGTTCGTTCTACGTCAGGAGGAAAGTCGCTGCTTGGCCGAGGGCGCTCAAAGGGTGAGCGGGGATACAATACATTCTTCGACGAACAGGGCGTCATGGATCAAGACGGATTCGAACGTTGGGTCGGGGAGATGGTGGGGCGAGTAATGGAAAGTAAAACAGAGTAGTGATTGAGGTTTGGATCAAAACGACAGTGCTGAGAGTCGCATTCCTCTTATCTTGTACGCCCATGTGTATAAGCAAGTATGTGAGAGGTAAGTATTATATGTGGATGATAATTGACTTATTGAGTACGGTTCTGGGCAGAGGTTTTGTAGTCTCCTACTGGTATATTGATATATGACCAAAACATTTGTTCCAGTGTTCTTCAGCGACTTTTCTGATCTGTTAGGTCAGCGATTGCTCGTGCGTTGGGCCGAGGCCGCGCCTGCATGGACATTCGACCCTCAGAATCGGACTAGATTCAGGAATATAGCTGCTAATTCTACATGCAATGACTACTGTTCAGCGCAACCTGATGAACTTCCAAATGATTGATCCACTTGTCAATGTAATTTGACCTTCCGACCAACTCTCGGCGATGGGACCAAAACCAAAGTTTAATGTTTATGGACCGTAATTCGCCAGTTCCATAGGTCCTCCCACTACGGCTCCTGCCGAACCTCCTTCGTATCCTGCGTAAGGGTTCTGGCCGAACTCCCATCCTTGTCGTCTGTTCAACTCTGACCTGGGATGACTGAAGTCGAAGTATAATATGAGCCACGGGGTGTCAGCTTGTCCTCAAAAGTCGATCCGAGAGTCCCCACATACTTTAGTAGAACGGGCATTGCATCGGTGACTGCGCATGCTGTTATGATGATATACAACACCGAAAAAACTTGGACGATCATGTTGAAGGCGAGTGGATGGAGAACACGTCAAGGACAGCAAAGTGCAAATTCGGACTATGAAGTCGTCAACGTTTCAATCAGTGTTCCTCACATTCAAAAGCAATTATATACTCACATGTTAGGATTGGATGAGTGGTTGTGAAAATGAGATGGGTGACCAGCACGCAGAATCTCGCATCGCAGACGGACGTGTTTTATGGCCATGGGGGCCACCCGACACGTTTGGCAAGTGTGGGATAGCCATTATCACGAATAGGCTATTGTTCCGTGAGAGCTGTCAAGTAGTCTGTAAATATGCAACATTACATCAGGGCAGTGAATGGTCGAAAAATGGACACCAGCCCCAGTGATGGTTGGGATCTGGAATATAACAAATATGCAAAATGGTTCATCAATAGATTCCTGTGTACGCACCACTATGCAATTGGTCTGCAGTCTGTCTAGCAGCAATACGTCATAATCCGAATGTCAAATTGAAATTCAAAGGCTCATCGTAGGTGGATCTTAAAGTTGGCCTGCTCGCACGGAGCACCATTCTACCAGCACTGTACATACATTCATGGCAGCGGTGATAGATACAGGACACCTGTGGCTCCGCGCAGCTAGGGTAAGCCAGTGAACCAACGCACGCGCAGAATTTTGCTCATCATATGATATGTACGTACTACACGGCTTGTGATACCTGATGAAAGGTTACATGAGCGTCCATACCAACAATCAGTATCTCCCCGCCCAATTCCCCGTTTCGATTGTGATAGACTCCACTAGTGTCTATATTGACAGCATGTCGCACGCCTCTGAAAATGGAAATATCTGCACGCCTGATTAATGTTCCAGAACCCGCAATGTAGAAGTACTGCGAAACATCTTGGAAAATGGTATCACCGGCTGTATAGGGCGCAAAACGTCATGTTGCATGAAGACGAGTGAGTTAATGCTCCGAGTATTTCAGTAGTATCTTAGATCATAGTATGGGTGGGCCAGAGAAGGTCCGAGGCGATACATCAGTGCCAGTGGTACATCTCGAGTACGAGCCGTAATGAGAGCATATAATGTATCATCTGGTTGCGCATATGATGTATTATTCTGACAGGAACGCCTGATGAACAAGGTGTCAGTATGCTGTACATTGGTTTTTTCATATATAGCTTTTTTCATTAGGTTGTCAAATTGAGACTCTTTGGTCTTGACCTAGATATTCACAAACGAAAAGGCGCAGAAATATTGGTGGCAATGGAAACGTCTCAAAAAAGCCAGCCTCATCCTCAGCCGAATAGGACGAATGTATTTGAAATTACGACCACTGAAAAACACATTTTCAGTGGCGTTTTCCACTCAGATGTGCTACGTCTGGAAAAACTCCTCCTGAACCTCCCCTGAGATCTCCAAAGGGGTTGTCCTGGGGCCAATCCCACCTTCTAATTAGTTGTTTGTTCAACTCCGCCCTAGTATGACTGAAGAGTCAAAGTACAATATCAGTCATAGAGTGTCAGCTCATCCTTAAACGTCCTCAAGGAAGCCCCTACGTACGTTGGTAGAACGGGCATTGCATTTACGACCACGTGAGCTGTTATGATGATATACAACGCTAGAAAGATTTTGACGAGCATGTTGAAGGCGACTGAATAAAGCGCGTCTGGGACAGCAAGGTGCAAGTTGGAACTAGAAAGTCGTCAACGTTTCAGTCAATCCTCGTACCCTGCTTCAAAGGCAATTCTGTACTCACATATTAGGATTGAATGAGTGGTTGTGATTGGTGACCGGCACGCAGGATCTAGCATCGCAAATGGCCATGCTTTATACGCAGGCAGTGGCTGTGGGGGTCGCCTGAATCATTTAGGACAATCATTACTGCGGACAGGCTATTGTTCGGTGAGAGCTGTTAATAGCTTATACAAATCTTATATCAGGACGGTGAATGATTGAAGGATGACAATACCAGCTCCTACTTCCAGTGATTGTTGAGACTTGAAACATAGTAACAAATATGTAAAGCAGCTCATCAAGAGATCCCTGGGCGAGTTCCTGTGTGCGTACCATGCTTCTGGGGCTCTAAGTCGCAGACTTACTCTACAATACGGCCAGTGGTATATCTATACAATCAATCTGCAATCTGTCAAGCAACATTACGTCATAGCCCGAATGTCAAAATGAAATTCAAAGGCTTACTGCGGGCGGATCTCATTCCACCAGCACTGAATATTCATGGTGGCGATGATAGATACAGTGTGCCTAGTGTAACTATGATTTCCGAAGCCGAGTATCCACGAATTCCATATTCTGCGTTTAGCCTGGGAAAAGATTGCACTGGGCGTGGAGTTGAGGCGGTGTTCACGGATATTCTATACGCTCAGAATTAGTACTCCATACAAAATGCTAGCTCATTTTCTCACTCACACCGTAGATGCATCATCGATTATGTTGCAGATGCCCATGGCGACGTAAAAGATGAACACGAGTTGGGGGAGCGTTATTTGATGAGTTGTCTGCTGGAAATGGAGGAAATTCATAGGAAGAAGGGCTGTACATCGAGCGAATCATAAAAAAAAGAAGCACTCACTGATAGTAACCAATGTAATCGTTGGCAAAGAGGGGGAGAAGATCGGAATAGCGAATATTGTATCGTCAAAGCATCGACGGACGCGATTTAATGTATCCTTTCGCAACAACCTGTGAGGGGTTTCCAGCGTTGTGCAATATATCTAAGTACTGACAGCTCTGCTCCTAGCATCAGACACCTATTTGTTAACTTTTGGAAGAACTAGGCGAGGAAAGATCTATCCTGCTTGATACAATCTCAGGCAGTCAGAAGAATTTCACCGCGGGTTCTTTGTAACAGCGTATCATTAACATTTGAACATAGCTAGATCCGCGCCTAAGCCGTATCATGGACCGCGGCAAGGAAATCAATTCACAATGCGAGCGCGTTGATAATTTCATTCGACGCTTGTCGTGATTGTTGCTCAGCGCTGCGAGTACACCACCGTCCTGCATATGACTAGATTGCCACAGCTTCCCCGTAAAACAGGGGAGAATGCAGGTGGCGGGAGATTGGCTAAGACGAAAGATGGGCCAAAGGTTTAGACCCGCACCAAGTACTGCATTGAATGCTCCCAATTGAACGTGACCCGGTGATAGTTCACGTCGGAGTGCTGGGGCTTCTGCTTCCTGAATGCCGGCTTGATGCTTTTGTTTGGATAGACCGCCCGCCTTGGATTGAAGCGACTCAAAGAGCGAATGGCCACGCCTTTCACGATCTTGTGCTTACTTCCGGATATCTATGATTCTAAAATGTGTGGAGGCTAGAAGGTGATTTCGAGTGGTGGAATGCCCGATGGCGTAGTGCACAAACATCCAAAGATAAAGCTTGAAAATGGATACTAACTGCGCCATCTTCCACGTCCAAAACCGCCTGTTTCCTGCGTATAAGCTCGCCTGAAACATAAGATATTTAGTACAGAAAACGGCGATCGGTTGAGTAGATGAATACAACACAAGTTAAGATATAAGTTTTAGTTGCCCGCCAGTAAAGAATTTAGAAAAAATTTAAACTCTACGGAGAAGGGGAGTCAACTATGCGGAGCTCACATCTCCCCCTCGTTCACTTCCCAAGGCATCTGAAGCGTACCGATTGCGTACTCCCCAATGTTTAATATTGAAAGAGGTGTCTCTTCCAGCGGCGAGTCGATATAAGTCACGCTCGCGCGCTCTTTCCCCGTACTAACCCTCTTCTGCGCATCTTGCTCCAGCCCTCCGGCATAGGATAGTCGTGGTAGATTTATGGCAGCGTCCTCTAGCCTCGAATCCATGGACAAGGGCCGCTTCGCATACGGGCGATCCGGCGAGGGCATGGCCACCAACACTGTGACTTGCAGCGCACGCACGGGTGGCGGCGGAGGTGGCATTTCGATGAGTCCGTGCGCATAAGAGTAAGCCTCGAGGGAGTTTATGCCCGGGTGCGCTCGCGCGCGTCTCATTGCACGGACTGCGACGAGAAGGGAAAAGAAGGGTATGTAGTCTATTATGCGCTGACGAAGCGGGAGGCGCGGACGTCGAGGGAGAGCAGGCGCTGTGTCCCCCCATTCCTCCTGGCGGATATATGTGACGGAAAGCGGCTTGAGGGAGATGGAGGTAGATAAGTGATCGTAGGACGGTCAGCGCTACGGTCAGCGCTCCGAGATGCGCACAAAAGAGTACTCACGAGCAGATCGCGCCAGGTCTTTGTCCTTTCTCGCGATAACGCACGCGGACTCACATCCCATAATGCGGGGATTGGGGGTTGTGCGCGGCCACCATTTGCTTGGAGTCGTCCGAGGTTGCGCCGGAGCTCGATGGACAGGCGGCGTGAACCGAAACCACAACCGAGAAAGAAGACGAAGATGGCGACTAGGGCGATGAGGAAACTGAACGGAAGGGTGGGATTTGGGCTGGATGAGGTGCTTGTTGATGTCGCGGAGGGCGAGCCGAGACTCGTGGTCGTGGATGCGGCTGGGACAGTCGAAGAGGCCATAGTTCGTCGCTGGGTCGTCAAAATAAGCGTTCGTGCACTTTCAAGGGCTCAGATGAGCCCATCAGAGACGGGGAGGACGAGAGACGGTGATGGCGAGAGACAAGATAGTCATGGGTAAGGCAGGCCACTGGCATGGCACCTGGAGAACCTGCTCGGCCTGTCAGAGAACATCGTGACCGCATCTTGTGTGGGCTATATATATCCCCAGAACAACTTGGACGGAGGCTGCCTGCTCTCGCTTAATTTATTTACTGACTCCTTGACATTGTTTCCTGCGAAGATGGTCCAAGCTGAAAGATTGTGACCAGAATAAGTGCGAATGAGGAAGACATACTGAGACAGGCTGAAACAGCCGCACGAACGCCCTGTCCTCGGATCACCTTCCCGATCATCGATCAAAATTGAGGTCACCGACTTGGCTCGACCGCGTGCGTGCGAGGTGCAAACAGATTGCAAATTTACTTACGGTGAGTTTATGAGTTTCGACGGCGCTGCAATTAATCCGGCACAACATAACTTCAGGACCATATATGTCGACAATCAAATGGATTGAATACAGAAGTCCTGAGCAGACAGAGCAGCATATGTATTTGAACATGTTCTAGCATAGTGTATACAGTGAACGGAGTGAGCCGGTTCAAAGACAAGAACATAAAGGCTAGCATGAACGCAACTCGAGTCCAGCTATGAACCCGGCATTACGCCAGGAACCCAATTTCAATATCCCCGTGGAAATAAATTATTTAACGCCCGGCCTACCAACTTTCCGGACCAATCAACACCATGCGTGGAAGTTTGCCTGCAAAACGGTGCGAGCGCGGGTTTGCCCAGTACATCTTGAGCTTGCGCGCAGCATGACAATCTGGTCCGGACGCATTACACATCGACTTATATGCTATTCCAACCCACGCCTTCGCGTTGCCGAAGTCAGAAACCTGCGCCACATCACCGGGGAGAAGATTTATCATTGATCATGATTGAGTCTGAAAATGAGTAGAAGCGACAAACCAGAACACAGAGCTGGAATGCGTCAAAGCAGAATAATGCTTCATAATGTTGAAGGCCTTCGTCTGTCAAGAGCTGCAGGGCCAGTTGAACCTGATGATCATTGAATATTCAGGCAATTCTACGACACTGTTGAGCCAGCCACTTGCCTTCTGTATACCAATTTCTGGCTCGTTCGTGCAAGTGCACATCTCGTTGTACAACCTCCGTATCGCCGCGCGCCGATAATCGCTTTCCTCCAACGCAGTTCCCTGCAATGTGCACACTGAACACGCACATTCGAACCCAAAGTGGCTCCACAGCTCTGCCCGTCGCTCATCTCGTGTCTCGAGCACATCCAGATAGCTGATACACAGCTCTTCTCCGGGCCCAATGTGTCGCAACGCATAGAACTTCAATACCTGCTCTTCTGAATCCCATACCCGTGAAACATTTGGTGTGCACGAGTGATTGAGCCGTGCTGCAGCAAAAAATAGACCAAGCCTCTCCTCGGCGCAATTGGCCTTCATAATCGGACACGGGACAGCATTTGTCCTGAAGATTCCCAGTCCAGGTAACACCTTCCGGCCACTCTTGTACTTGTTGCTGAGAGAGAAGAACTCGCGCTGCTCATCGCGAGTGTGAAGCGCGAGCTCACCAAGGATGGTCGAGTTTGTGCATGCCGAAGGCTGTGTAAACAGCGGCCGCTCAGTAAAGAACGGGGCGCCCGTGGCGATGAGGCGTGCAGCAACGAGTCCCATGCCTTTTTCCGGGATTTCGGAGACGAGGAAGGGGACATTTCTTAGCGAATCGCTCACTTGGTCTGTGTATCGTATGTCGCTCAGTTTCAGCACTCGGCGAAAGAGTTCAATGCACGTACCCTCATCTAATATGGGCGAAGTCGGCCTCCTAATTGGTAGATCTCGGGAGTATCCACGGACCATGTACCTTAAAGATCCATCGTCTGTGACTAGCCATGTTAGTGACCTATGTGAAAGTGGTGTCGAAAGATTACATACCGTCACCCATGGTGTAAGATGGTGAGCGGACGGGGCGAAACTGTGTCTGCCTCGAGGAGAAGAGCGTCCGTCTCAGTCAAGTCAAGAAGGCATCGCAGGAACGGAACTCTTTCGCGTGCGCGACAAGCCTTCTGGCGCCGTATTGTTCGCGCAGAACCCAATCTGAATATGACTTTGTCCAAATTGGAGGGCCCTGAGAGACGATTTTAACAAGTATGAATGACAGATTTCTTCGTGACAGACACGCGCGATAGCCCTGCGGGCCCTTGCCGCTCACAATTTGAAGTTGAGGTGCATAATTGGAATACACACTTGACTGCAGCGGAAATTAGGATACAGTGTGACCGGAACCGAACACCGTCACTCGAAGCATGATTGTATCTTGGAGCTTTTTACTGCCGAAAGAAGTGATGAGTGGAGATTGAGCGCAAAGCTTGGAAGATTTCAAGCTGCTTCTGCCAGCGGGGGCAACTAGGCTCGTTGCTTAGCATTCTAAGTCTGCAAACAATCGGAATCAAATCAGAATTCCAGTGATTTTATCGTCGACGTCATTGCTCAAATGCTCCCCATGATCCATATAGTTCTAGGTCTGCAAGTGTTGAACAGATAGAAAATGATGAACATCGGAACATTGGCCACTAACTCAGCAGTGCGGCACAATTCATGCAACTGTGCAGTGTGGCTTAACTCTCGTCCGTCGCTCGACCTACATTAAAAATGGAGCAGTGTTTGTTCGAATACAACCCAAATTCCTCAGAAGAGCCATGGTATTAGAATTGCAGTGACATCGTTGTAGTACCGAGCAGTCAGGTTCGAGTTCGAAAGTTTCTATATTTGGCATAGCTGCGTCGGAAATAAGTGTACGGCAATGTATTTTGAAATTCAAGGTTAGGTTGTCTATCCGAAACTACGGCAAAATTCAGTCAGACGCGGTAGGCGCGCTTTCTTGGACGACATCCAACACGAAGTCGCTGCTGCCTGTCACAGTCGAGCAAGATGGCGGACGCCGGTGAGGCTCATAATCGACGGTATTGTCTCGCTTTGCTGACCATGTCCTACTCGCTCACTGTCTACAGGCTTTTTCAAAGGAACTTCAGCGGACCAGGACCGTAGGTTCTCAGACAAGGAGCTCAAACTCCTCAAGTCTATGAAATTTCCCCCCGACTTCGAGAAGAAGGTACGATGACGCGATTCACACGCTCAAATTGTTCTTGAATGTGGCATACCCCCAGGTTGATATGCGAAAAGTGAACCTCACCGTCATACGACCGTGGGTCGTCAAAAAGATCATTGAGCTAGTAGGTTTTGAAGACGAAGTTGTCGTCGAATATGCAATGGGACTGTTGGAAGATGACTCTCAGCCGGTTCGTTGCTATCGTCATGCCAGCCACAATTAATCGAACCATGCTCTCCGCAGACGCCGGATCCAAGGAAAATGCAGATAAATCTGACAGGCTTCTTGACAAATCATACACCGGCGTTTATGACTGCCTTATGGAAGCTCCTGCTCGAAGCACAAGACTCTCCAGCCGGTGTTCCTAGAACTTTTGTTGAGGAGAAAAAGGAAGAAATGCGGCAAGCCAAGAAAGGCGACGTCCGCGCAATTGAGGAGAGGGATCGACGAGCACGGCTCGATGAAATTCGTGATCAGGAGAGGAATGCTAGATCAAATGGCAGGGGACGGGGTCGCGGCAGAGGTCGTGGCAGGGGTGGGTTTGATGAGGACCGTGGGGGCCGCGGTCGAGATAATGGGTGGGGTGGTAGAGGCGGAGTGAGTATCCATAATTTTTCCTGAATTGGCGAGCTTATAAGCATTCAGCGTCCGCGTCGACGTACGCCTTCTCGGTCACCACCCCCTCGTTCGCCTCCTCCCCATCGTCGCCGGCGCTCGGGCTCGCGCACACCACCTTATGGCGCACGTAGCTCACGCTCAAGAACGCCTGGGTCTAGTCCTCCTGCACGCCGCTTCCGGTCGCCGCCTCCCGTGGGACGTGGGCGATCGCCTTCCCGTACGCCTCCCCCTCCTGCACGCGAACGTGACCATGGCCGCGACATCCCCCCTCACAGGCGACGCTCTCCCCCTCGCCGCTCCATCTCCCGATCACCTCCTCCATCCCGCCGCCGTCCTCGCTCTCCGTCACTCTCGCCTCCGCCGCGTGATCGCGACCGCGATCGCCGTGTAAGAGGCTCTCGCAGTCCGCCTCCGAGGAGACGTCGAATGTCCCCTCCCCGTTCTCCCCCACGCAATGCGGATAGGCCTCCACCATATCGTAGTGGATATGGAAGGCGTAGAAGCCCGAGTAGAAGTCGCAGTCGGTCCGTGACTCCTCCTAGGCGGAGACGCAGTGTGAGTAGACCTAAGGAGAAATCTCCTCCGCGGCGAAGGAGGGACTATTCTAGGGATCGGAGTGTTGACAAGGACAAATATCGTGGTAAGGGGAATCAAAGACGTGAAAGCCCGAGTGGAAGCAGAAAATCGAGCCGCAGCAGCGTCAGGAGCCGGACTTCAGATGACCATGACAAAAGGCAGCACGATGCAGCAACTACGGACAGGATGGCCGTCGACCGAGAGCCGCAAAGCGCATCATCGAAAACCAAAGGGAATGCTGGCGGCTCAGAACTCAAAATCAAAGGCCAGGCTGAGATGGAGAAACAGAAGAATAAGTGGGATGATGAGGACCAGGTAAGCCGCCTGGTTTTGCATAAGATCAGGGCGGGTGCTGATACTTACAAGCCTATGCCGGACAGCGGTGAGCTAGAACGCCGAGAAAGCGAATTAAAGGAGAGAGCTCTACGCAACAAAGTTGTCAGGACCAGGAAAGGCGGCAGCGGAGGCAATGTCAGTGGAGGCAATTAGCACCCTGCAACCATCAACCCAATGTGGTGGCATTCGTATGATTCTATATGTCTATATGCGATCTTTCGTTAACTTACGTATTTCTGTGCTGTTAGCGAGACCTTCGCGATTTCGAAAGTATACAGCGATCATGCTGTTGCGTGTATACGACGTTTTTCCTATACGCCTTTTAACCCCGCCTTCTGATAATCCATTTTCTTCGTACAGACTTAGACGAGCCTTATATGTTGCTCATTCGAAGCACATTTCCCATTTCGAGACTGGTCTATGGGCTCCCTATGCGATAGGCTTCTTATTGTAACTAACTGATGTTTTCCGTGATACTAATGAACAATCTTGGTCACAGGAAGTTGTTGTCAATGACAGTGGTCTGAGAGATTGAACGTGCTTCAGTGGTTTCTTATATATGTCATTGAGGTAGCCTATGTTGAGTTCCAACGACGAAATGTGAGCTTTTCCGCAGCCTCTCCCTTTGGAAATGAGCGAGCGATGCGCGGAAAGTCCTGATCACAACGTCTGCTAAGTAAGCGATTGTTACCTGTCGTACGACTGCCTACGATGCACCGGCATAGCGAGTCCTTCCTCCGATTTACTGAAGATGACTTATGTAGGCAATATAACTATGGTGAATCATACCCTATCAAGTTTGTGAATGATGTCATTCGGTAAAATCTCTATATCCGTCAACGGGGTTCCGTACAGCTCGGAGGACGGGCCGCTGGCAGATCTTAGAGCGTACAGGTGACCGACATGGACTTCACGCGCCGTAGGATGGATCTTCCTTTAGATCGCCATGTTAGTACAAAAGGCCCTGCAGCAGCGGGGAAAACAGCATTTCGTTCGGGATTATGTCTGGTACTACCATTGTGAAGATTGAGGTGAGACTCATGCAGCCGCCGACTATCCAGAGCTCACGACCATTGTCTCCGCAGGTCTTTCGGGTGCCCCCGCGATGGCTCTTTGTACGAGTAGAAACACAGGACGGAACCATAGGATGGGGAGAAGGCACGCTAGAGGGGCACACTGAAGCTGTCGAAGGCGCGTACAAAGACATTATTACCAGGTTCGTCGGTTGGGATGCGGACAGCATCCAAGACATCTGGCAGCACTGTTACCGTGCCAGATTTTACCGGGGAGGGCCTGTCTTGATGGTGCGCATTTGTCATATTATTATTTTCACGCCGCGAAGAGCTAATGTGAGAGGATGAAGTCGGCGCTCTCGGGGTTGGACATCGCGCTGTGGGATATCAAGGGAAAGCGGCTGGGCGTACCTATATGGCAACTCTTGGGAGGGAAAGTCCGTGACCGCCTGAAGGTGTACGGATGGATCGGGGGCGACAAGCCTCATGCAGTTATTGAAGGTGCGAAAACTCGGAAGGAGCAGGGCTTTACCGCAGTCAAGATGAATGGTACAGGTACGTCGGGGAGGTGCACTCTAGTTGACTACGCCCAAACCGAATTTACTGGTAGAGGCAATCGGGTGGATTGACTCGCCAGCTTTGCTGATGGAGACCACTGCGCGTGTCAGCGAAGTTAGATCGCTAGGGCTAGATGTTGGAGTCGACTTCCACGGCCGCGTGCACAAGGGTATGGCGAAGCAGCTCGCGCGACTTCTGGAGCCACTCCAACCCCTCTTCATAGAAGGTATCTCTTCTTTTGGGGCGAATCCCGATGGAAACACTCCACTAACCGCATCATGATTCCGGCAGAGCCTCTGCTTCCCACTCAGCCACAGGAGATCGCGGATCTTTCGAAGCTAGTCTCAACCCCCATCGCTTTGGGCGAGAGACTATATTCAAGAAGTGATTTTCGACCATACCTGGAGGCCCGGGCCATCGACATTGCTCAGCCTGATGTCGCGCATTGTGGAGGGATCAGCGAACTGCATAGGATAGCCGCAATGGTTGAGACTTATGACGTTGCTCTTGCACCGCACTGTCCCCTCGGCCCAATCGCTCTTGCTGCTTGTATGCAGGTGGACATTTCATCGCCTAATTGTAAGTGGTCTTAGTGAGAGCAGATGGATGAATGAAAGCCTCTGATCTGATTTATCTGACAGTCTTCATACAAGAACTGAGCCTTCAGGTATGAAGCACAATATAATACTGCAATACTGAGTTTGATTGCTGACAATACCATCAACGTCCAGATGCACTACAACGAAGGGGCTGATCTTCTCACTTACCTTGTCGATCCATCCGTCTTTGCAATCAAAGATGGCTATGTAGAGGCGCTTCAAGGCAAGTGCAGGTATTATCGTCTTAGGATTGGTTTCAAAGTAAGATCTACAGGTCCGGGGCTTGGAATAGGGATAAACGAAGCTTTGGTGCGGGAATATGCGGAGAAATATAGCAGCGAAACACCATGGATAAATGCTATATGGACTGGCGCAGATGGATCGCTGAGAGAATGGTAGACTGTACAAGATAGCATCAGACCCACCACATAAGCTGGCAAATGATTATACTGGCTGTGATGCCCCGCTGAAGCGATTGCAGTAAAGTCCAATATTTAGAAGCTAACACGGTTACACAGACGCGTTCGTCGCACTGCATGCCGTCAGACTCAAAATGAGTCACACGACTCGGACTCGACCTAAGCCAATTGGCACTTGGGTCATGCTCGTCATTCTTGCACCATTCCATTTTGTGTCCTTTTCACATCGTTTCAAGCTGGCGGGCTTCGTTTCCGAACGAATTTGCGACTACTGTCTGATTATTGGCCAATGGGTTGTCTGGAACGCGGCACCTGGTCCGAAAGTCCCACGACCCGAATCTCGGAGTCGAGACTCGCGATTTCTCGACCACAATAGTCGTCGTTGGACTGACCCGTCCACTGATGGCGAGACTTCTGGCGGTGTTATCCACATGTTACCTCTTATTTTCCGGGGTTTCCCATACGGTATTTGCCAATCCCGCAGCGTCTTCCAGAGGTAGCGATCCGTGTTCCCACATTGCGAACAGCACATGGGTATCACCGCAGGATGTTAGAGCGTGCTTCACCTCGTTTCCGGTACAGCAGGAAATAAAGGATAACGTGTGTTCTCATCCCTTACTGGCACGAGGATCCGGCTGACAGGCTGGTCAAGATCATAGATGTCGTGAACAAGTCACTTGCGTTCCATACTTCCATTAACTATCAACGTTTGGCTCCCCCGCCATTTTCTGAAGATATACACGAAGATGTGCTGCGAGATCTCGCACGCATCCGTGAAGAAGTGTACTCCTCTGACTATGAACTCCATCTTGATATGTCGCAAACGTTAAAGAGACTTCATGACGGACATTGCACTTATGTTAATCTGTGTTATGATGGTGAGATCTGCGGGTTCAAATAAGCAATCGATCTGATATTCTTTTTAGGATTATTCACCACATATCTTCCCATCCCTCTCGTGTTACTGACCGACACTGACGGCTCTCAGAGCGTACATATTGCCCCGGAGGCTTTTGATGTCGCTGTAGATGCATTTGGGGATGAAATAGATGTATGGCAGAATGCCTTACCTGGGAGCTTGAAGGGACAATTAGATTCGGTTAGTCCCAACTATTATATACGCCAACCGCTCATGGAAAACTCGTCGTCGCAGCTGTCGGGTGCCAAAGTCCTACTCATCGATGGATTGGAAGCTTTTGCAGCAGTGAATGCCAGTGCGTCAGTTGTTGGAGGTTATCAAGCGTTCGGAACTCGGCAGAACTTGTACATCCACCTGTTGTTGCATGCACCCTATCAATACTGATAACATGCTGTAGATTTTTTTCGAGCTACAACCGTGCCGAGTCGGGCTGGATTTATAATATGGGCAACTTTGCTCAACTCGCTCTACCTCTCAAGGATTCAGTAACGTTCACTATACAGAGGAAGGGTAGCGACGACATGGAGACCATCACGGTTAGTATCTATTCACTCTGGTTACATGCAATTTGCCATTCTCACCATTCACTGCATGCATACCAGCTCCCATACCGTTCCCGCATTTCGCCAAATGCGCAGCCCTGGACTGATTCGGCTTCCTTCCGGGGCAACAATTGTGTGGCCACTGAATTCACAAATGGCATCGACCTCTATGCGAATGTGAAGCAGGGTAGTTATGGAGCCGATCCAGCCGGTGGACATCGCCAACATCCCCTCGTGGCCCACAAGAAAACTAAGAAACATAGAGTGAACGAAATGCTTGACATTGCACCTCAACGGGGTATTGCGCTTCCGGCTCACCTCACCCCCCCTTCTCCACTCAATGGAAGCTCCGGTGTTGCGCAATTTCATATGCTCAACGACAGTGAGACTGGTGTCCTTGTGCTTGGCAGTTTTTCCAGTAGCTCTTTCGATCGCCTTCAAAGTAGTCTGCTCGAAGGATTACAGAATTTGAAAGATGAAGGTGCAACGCGGTTGGTTGTAGATGTGGTAAGATTACCTTTATTTACATTCCCAATTTCAATGATATATATGTTTCATTGGAATGAACCAGACCAATAATGGCGGAGGTAAGGGACTCTATAATGCTTCCGCAGGTATTTGATTGCTGAGTACCGTTAGGCTGGATTTGCATTGCGCATGTGAGGCTTAATTTGTGGTTTATTCAACCGATTGCTAATGTGCTTGGGGCACGTAGTGGCTACACCGGATTGTGAGTATGACTATTATACGCCGTGATTGCAACCTGATACATTATGCTTGAAGATCGCGGGACCTAAAGCAACCACGATCCCACAGGCAGGCTTGCAGACGCAAACTCGAGCAGGCCCTCTGGCACAGCTTATTGTCGAGAAGATAGTCAGAGGCGCCGATCCTGATAATGTTCTGTCGTACAATCCGCTCAACTGGGCATTCGCGAACAACACCCCGTTCCCCGGCGATTACAATTGGATGCAACCTCCGGTGGAGAAGACGATCAATGGAGTGTCCGATTTATTTAGCCAACGGTATGTATGATGATTCATAGGGAAGGCGTATGTGCAAGTATACTCACGTCTGTAATAACGCAGACTTGGGGATGAGTGTCAGCCTTTTGAGATGGATCCCCCTATGGAACCTTTGTTCGACACACAGAAGGTCGCTATTGTTAGCAATGGGAGGTAAGCTAATGGTGTTCTTTTCACGTCAATGTCGCTTTTGCTGACAATCTGGCGATCACTGTCACGGAAGATGCGGAAGTTCTTGCTCCCTATTTAGTGTAAGAAATGTGTTTCATCGCCCATGAATATCACGCTTGAAATCATGCACGCAGATCTCAATGGCAAAAGAAGAAGGTGCCAAGACCGTCGTTGTCGGAGGAAAAGCTGACGTTCGACAGCAGTACTGCGGGGTGGTTGGCGGACAATCCACTCACTTTTCCGAGATAGACACTGAAATTAAGGTAATTGTTCGCATTCCATGTATGTCGATGATGAGTTTGACCGATAACGATTCGCTTGCCTGGTAGACGACTCAATTGAAGAAGCATCCGCTTGCTCCTCCTGACTTGTAAGCGGTATCAGTGGTACCATTGAATTATACACATGGTAACGCAAGTGCTGTTGCAGTATGACTAATAGCATCCAAGGAATTACCTGGCGGCTTGGCTTCGGTATCGATGATCCCACAGAGCCAGAAGGTATGTCGGACAGCTGAGAGATTTGTTGATTCCAGACTATTCGCGATAGTGACCTCCCAGCGCGGATGCTAATCACTGAATTTGTAGAGTGGCAAGATCATCCGGCGGATGTGAACCTCCCATTAACCGCCGACATGTGAGCCTTAATCCCTCCCACGTGGTGTCCACGTAGCGTATCGCAGCTTGGACATCTCAATTAATTTGATTGCTGACTTTGACCGTTTGTAGAGTCAATAATCCCGCTGCTATTTGGGAAATAGTTGGGAACACCGTGCTATGATAGACGTTGCTGTTTATTATCATCTGCTACATGTTTCTAATTCCGCTGCGTCTGAACTGCTCCACAACTGTACGGCTTGGATCTATCAGAACTTGATCAAGCGCTTGTGAAGGTGTAATGCCACTGTCATGTGAGCTTTGGCCGAAGAGTCCAACTTAGGAGAAGCCTAATAATGCAACCGCTGAGAGCGAAGACCTTTTCTGGTCGTACCTTCTCTTGGGATTCATAGACGAAGCACACCCTGTCATACTATCAGAATTCAACTCTCATCGTCCCGCGGGCATGGGAATATAGACGGACAAGCATCTCACGTTGTTCTAGAGGGCCGCAGTGGAGCTCACGGCTTTAGCTCCATAATCGCAGACTGCGGGAGTCTCATTCGCACGAGTTCCGTAAATCAGTCGCACAGAGCGGGTGTCGTGGCGCTCTTGCTGTCGGACAGGCCGACTAGAAGGGTGCAATTGAACGGTACTAGCCTGATGAATTCCTGGCGCGCTGGGACAGATCTCATTAGCTTGCCTATTTATACCGAGTCAATATGGATGGAGTGAGCTTTCAGCCCACATCGGCCCCGCAAGTAGACCATCCTGTCTGTCATCATTGTTCTTTCGCCGTTTGCGTAGTACAAACACTGCTCATTGCATTCGTCTTCTCCGAGCCACATCTTACCGTCTAACATGGATATCCAGCAAATTGAAGCACTTTCCTCGCTTATCGCGACCTCGGTGGCAGAGCTGAAACAACTTCAAGGCGCACTCAAGACTACCCAGCACACAGCATCTACCGCAAAGGCTGAGTTCTTGAAGCCGTCTTTGCAGGTCGTGGCTGCTGCGTCCCAGCTGATTGCGCTGGTGCGCACTCCTGAACGTTACCTCATGGATATCTCAACCGGAGTAAGTGCCAATGAGAGTCGCGATGATAACCTGAATTCATTTGGGACCTTAAACAGCACCAATTGAGCTCGTCTTTGCGGGTAGTGGTCGAGACGAACGTACCAGAGATCCTCAGGGAGAAAGGCAAGGGACCCAAGCGCGCTTTGCACGTCAAGGAAATCAGCACTTACAATGGCGTCAACCATTTGAAACTCTGTACGCGCTTGCAATAACATTCACGCTAATTACATTATCTCACCCCAGACACTTACAGCCCGCATTATTCGGCTCCTTGCAACGCACCACATTTTCGAAGAAGTTGCCCCCGATGTCTATGCCAACAACAACATCTCCATTGCATTGGACACTGGAAAGTCGCTGGCAGAACTAAAGGCCAATCCCGAAGAGAAGTATGACGGCACTAATGGTATCGCCGCGCTGGTCGGTATATTGTATGTGGTATTTTGTTTTGTGACTACGCTTCAATTTTGAATGAATCGCGCAGTTCCGACGAGACTATGCATAACTCGGTATGCATTGCCGATATCTTGAAAGACCCGGAGACGACGAACTCGTTCTCGCCCTTCGATGCGCCCTTCTCTCGAGCTTGGCCTGGCACTAGGAACATCAAGATGTACGACTGGCTAAATCTACCTGAGAATCGCCCCCGCTTGAAGCGTTTCGGTATGGGTATGAATGGCATGAACAGCATGACCCCCTCGGATGCCATCCTGCGCGGTATGTGTCGTAGAGTGGAGGTATAAAGCAGGTGCTCAATACACTATTTCTAGGCTTCAACTGGGCCAGCTTGCCGGAAGGAAGCATTGTCGTCGACTGCGGTGGCGGTGTCGGCTCTGTTTCTTTACCTATCGTACAGACTTGCCCCCAGATTCATCTGATCGTGCAAGATACGGGCCCGGTTGTCGCGGAAGCGCCAGCGGTGAGCTTAGCGAAGCGGTTAGTCAATACAGTAAGCTCATGGCTCCGCATGTATGCAGTTCTGGCAGGCAAATCAACCCGAAGCTCTGGCACAGGGAAGAGTGTCATTTCAACGTATGTTCCATTTGATGACCTAGATTGCAACAGTCAGCCTGATCCATATGCTCACAGCGCATGATTTCTTCCAGCCTCAACCTTCCGTAAACAACAATGTCTCAGTGTTCTTGCTGCGGATGATCATGCATAATTGGCCTGATGTGGAATGTGTTCAAATCCTGAAGCGTGTACGTGAGAGCTGCAACAAGAACACACGTGTCGTAATCGTGGACAACATTATGCTGTACGCCTCTCGTGATCAAAGCATAGAAGGGCAGGATAGTGGGATCTCAGACCCAGATGCGCTTGCCCCAGAGCCACTACTGGCCAATTGGGGCGCAGCGAATGCGTTATCATACAAGCAGGATATCAACGTACGTACAATCATCGGAGACCAGCGCTGGCTTGGTGATTAATGTTCGCTCCTACAGATGTTGAGTAATCACAATGCATGCGAACGTACTGTCCCCGAGTTCGCCGAGTTGCTCTCGCAATCTGGCTTCCGTATCGTCGAAGTGCATCAAGCGCACCAAAGCTGGCTGCCCCAGATCGTGGCTGTGCCGATTTAGACGCCAACTGGATGAGGATACGCAGGTCGATTTTGGGTTGCTGTGTCATGGCCGAAAAATAGGGCTGAAGAAATGGAGTGTATGCAACATCTAGATGTATATTAATTTGTAGTGTTCAACACACCCATAAATGCAGTTATCACGCACCTTTTCTGCTCAGGATCTGTCATTACGTAGAATTGACGTGAACCCCCAGGTTTGAACCTGAACCCTCGATAGTTGATATATAGGTGTTGTAGACAACGAACGAGCACTCTTGATAATTGAGACTCTGTGTGTTATAGACAACGAACGTGAGCCTGCATGGGCAACCCTGTTCGGTCAGCTCTCATGGACGAAGGAGATGCGCAATTCCTGCGACGGGTTTATTCAGCATCGTCTGCACATGTGTATAGTTACACAGCTCGTGGAAGAGGTGCCGTTAGCTGATTTTGAACGTTGAACCCGAAATTTGCGTGCAGTGCGTCGTTCGGTGGGCTGGAGTGGCACTGTGTGAATTGACTGCAACAGTATCTTTAGGCGCCGGAGCGCGACGCTCTGCGGGGCTTTGCCTACAAAGTGAACAGTCAACACAGCCGGGCTCAGTGTCAAGACTACGACGCTCCTCCCGATTCTGGCAATCCATTCTTTCCACCTTCTGGTGTTTTGCTGAATCAGAAAGCTCAACGCTGACAGCGCATCAACTCTTCTCACTTCCTATTGATCTGATGAATCTTGTAGGACAACTAGGCGACCTTTGCGTCTCAGTGACACGCACAATCAAATGTATGGAAGCATCTGTCAGAGTACATCAAGTTCCAGACGGAGATGGGTACAGTATTGATGCGCTAATTTGGTCATCAAGCAGACCCTCCTCAGCCTGTGAGTAGAGTGGAACGATTCGCTGCGTTTGTATAACGCATGTAGCTATGCCAACCCATCCTGTGACTCCGAAATCCTACATGTTTCAATGTTGGTAGCACTCATTGATACTTTCCTAGTGACATCAGAATACACTACTAATTCCTCAGAGTCCAGTTACATTCCATGGATAACAAGGGGCCGGCTAACGAGATTCGTCATGAACTACTCTGGGTACGCAGATGTGGAACCACTGCGGTTGCCCTGGTCTAGATTCTATACTACAGCTTCCTCACCATATCTGTGTAAATCACCGGATCTGTTCGAGGCCAAAGGCGCAGTACTATCTCGATGCATCGAATATGATGATAATCTAACGCATACTCGCGTTTAGAAACAACTCGTCTCATGTCAAAGACCTATTCTGCATTTGTATTACAAGCAAAAATCTTCCTATCAGTCCCGTAACTATGTTCTCGACGTTTGATGTTCTTATGGTCGCAGTTTGTCGCCGCAATCCAATGATCGGCGCTAGCGTGACAGAGTTTGTGGCGTAATTCAAAGGCGGGATTACTACTATCGCCAACTCGTTCGGTGGCTGCTATGTTGAACTCTGGTGCTGGTCGCATGCATATAGGATGTGATAGTTGGGAACATACAATCCATATGCAGTGGCCGGGAGATGGATAGACTTTTTACTGAACATGTGTAAGTACTGTCATATATGGGCGATTCTTCTCAGAGGGTGTGTAAAAGAAGGTTGATCCAGGATTCGAGCGCAATTATGCGGTGCGTGATTGTGGCGTTGTCAGATAGACGCTAATCCGGATTCCGCGCAGGACTATATTCAGCTGGGCACCAGGCTGTCATGTAGTTGCAGCTCTCAGCTGTGTCGCAATCTAACAAATTGCTCTTAAGACGCCAAGCCACGTTGAGAGAAGAGCTTGTTATTTGTTCTTCAAGGTATCGCTATTCACTCTCCTCGTAACGCGTAACGCGTAGCGCATTGTGAGTATGGACAGGAATACGTGAGTTCATCGTCTATGCGCGCGTCCATGACAAGACCTACTAACGATCGTAGTCTCGTCTCGGTTTTCACGACTTGTTAGTCTTCTGTTCATCTCAGTGACTCAGCTTATTAACGGTGTGCAACGTTAGCGCTCGTTGGCTATGAGTATGTTCTTTCGTTCGGTGCGGAAGTAGAGCATTTCTGGTGCCGCAAGCTCTCGTGGTGGACAACACTATTCTTCGTCAACCGCTATATGTGTTTCGTCAATCGCGCTGCGCTATTCGCCGCTGTCTTTCGCAATTGGCAGGTGGTAAAATGCTCCAGTACAGTGTGTCAATCATCTATTACAGTATTTGAAGTGTATCTAACCTGTTATCAAGGGGTAATTGACCATCAATGAGAGCACTATACTTCAATTAATGTCTCTCTCAATACAAGGTGTTTTGTTGTAGTGTGGATGGAATCAGTCTCATCGTTTGTGGGATTGTTTACCATCGCCTGTGGGTTAAATTTTTCATATCATCTACAGATATCTGATTGTATTGCAATTTTATGCAGTAATATTGGCAACAAGGATCTTCGCTTTATGGAAACGTAATATTCTGCTCACCATGTTGACCCTGGTGTTTGCCATGTCCATGCCTATTATGTATGCTGTGTGTGAAGATCGGACATCGTCTGAGTTATTGCAACAACTGACAGTGTTTTTTTGCAGACTTTCATCTCGCCCTGTATAGTTTTGAAAAGTCTGTCAGATTTGTATGTGTTTATGTGACCCTGCCTCTTGACCTTTTCCCCCTGATTTGCAACGCGTCAGTTGCACCGGTGAGAATTGAACATGCCCTCCGATGATGCAATCGAATCAACTCGGACATCCCGCACAGACGTCGACAAAGTCCTCTTCGCCTCTCGCGTTCTGGCCATGATTGCAGACGGTCTTGTTGTAGTGCTGACATGGATGCAAACATACCGGGTGTACACAGTCAACTCTCAGGTAAGGTTCGGATCTAAATTGGCTGCAATGATTCTAAGAGATGGTGAGAATGTTCTCAGTGCGTTAATCTCTAGGCCTGTTCTGATAGTGGAATCTAGGAACAGCATATTGTTTGTATGTCGTCCGTTATTGACCGATTGAACTTGTATCAATGTGAGAGCATGTAGGGCAATGGTGTTTTTCAATATAGCGACAATGATAGTCGGGGAGGTGAATGCCATTTTGAAATCTATCTGTATGCCAGCTTCCTTACATTCTGCTTATAGTACAAAGAAATCACAAATAAATTCACAGATCTCGCAGCGTCCGTCCCTATTTTCTCTTCTCATCGCATTGAGTCACTAAAACTATGTAACACATCAGACTCTCGGCTATCTTCATGTCTCGCTTTATGCTCGATATACGAGAAGCGTTCAGTGAGGCCGAGGACTCGGCTAGGAGCTATAGTACCACTGTCATGAACGACGCTATCCGGCTCAGGTTTGCGGATTGCTCTGACCGGGAGCGTCTGTCCTGGGCGGCAGATGAACTCGACACAGAGGCGAATACTTTGGAGACCGTTCAATAAGATGAAACTGAGTGTTTTGAATTAGTTGAAATACTATTCGGCGTCAGGCTTATTAGTTCAGGTTGACGACAGATAGACAGTTCCATATAATTTATCTTGGCTTATGAAAGTCTTCATAGCAGACTCTGATTTGAGGAAAAGGTTGAACAGATTCAATATTGAAGCGTCAGTTCTTCGAATCCCATGTTAAGTCGCTCATTACAGACGCTAGTCTTTCAACGTTTAGCTGATCTAATTGGCAGCGGTTCGGTCTGTTGTCCAAGCGAGGACTCTCAAAGACATCTTTTGGCGCGACGCAGCGTCCCGGTGGCTTTTGGCCCACCGGAGACGCCCTGAAAATACATTTTTTCGGTTCGAAAGACCGCGGACAATACAGAACAAAACGCTATATGGATAGGGAGGGATGGTGGGTATGCGAAAAGGGATCTGGCGCGATCCATTAGTTAGCCACGAAAGAGAGTGCGCTTTCTGAGAATAACATACCTGGCGGGATCCTTGAGGTGCAAGAAGGAGAGTGCGCGCTCCTATTTCCTCTACCCGCCAGATATATCACTCTTTTTTGTCGACCCCCTGAGTTCCGTCAGCCTCCAAATCGGCTCGGTGGGCGGGAGTCTCCAAAAAACGGAGGGCGTCATACCGGGCGCGGCACGAATCACGTCTCACTGGTCGCCCTTACGGTCAAGCAGAGACTGTACCTCTCCAGTAATAAATGCCATTTCAGATGATCCTACTGGGCGCGGTAGGTTTGAGAACTTGTAGCGCGTCGGCCCCACACCGATTGGATTTGCGAAAATAAAAATTTAAGCTCAGTTTGTCGGGCGTTGGCATTTTATTGGTCATACATTTCTCTACTTACATATTGGAGAGCATACTTAGAATTACTCTGGGTTTGACGCGAACACTTACATCTGCGTATGAAGTTCCCACGCCACAAACGCGTTGGACGCCACAGTTGGGTCTAGCCAGACTACCACCGACTTCTTCACTCGTACTTACTCGCGTACCACAACTTTCTGTCTCTGATTGCTGAGGGCTTACTCGATATCTATCGTCGGTGTTGCGCTATCGTTCTACTCGCGGATATTTAATGGAGACGCGTCTGGGCGCTATAGAAGTACTGGGATTCTCGGGAGACGCGTCCGCATATACTCTGACACGACGGATTTGGCTGGCAGGTAAAGATGTCGACTCCTCGTTTAAATGGCTCCTGGACTCGGGCAGCTTGGGCTACTCCTACTCCGTGTGGGACCGCCTCATTAAAACCGCGCGTTGGCTAGCATTCTGCGGCTCTACGATACAGCATGAGTCCGTCCTCGTTGCACACCATGTCGTCTCTCACATTCGAAGTTCTTCAGGAGAGGACTTTGCGTTTTGCGGTCAAGAAGACGTTCTATGACTCATTGTGGTCACCCAAGACCCCGATGGTTGGTTATAATCCGTGGCTTGCTGTCTTCTCGCGTTCTCAAGTCTCCATCAATGACACTTTTACTCTTAAACCGGATATATCCGCACCCATGGCGAGTTAAGTCGCCTTCTGCATAGGTTCATATTGTATGCATCTGTGACGTGGGCTCAATCAAAACGCCACACACTTCTAGCCGCTACGAAAGCCGTCAGTAATTCGACAAGACTTTGGTATACGGGCCGAGAATCCAGGATGTCAAACGTAACTGATTGTAGAGTTGATGCGATATTCAAGGACGCTTGACAATGTCGCTTCTAGCATCACTTGTGACTCAAAGGCGTCACAATTCTAAACTTAACTCTCAAACATCGCCGTTGGAGGTGGGTGTCGCATGCCATACTCTGTCAATCGCTGTCTGACAAGTCATCTCCATGGTGTGGCCGTACGCTGATAGTATTTCTGTCATATCGGACGTGCTATCCGTGTATCCTGACTTCTACGCCATTGTCTCGAGGCTAAATAGGTAGCTATGTGCGTCTCAACCATTTCCTTCTGTCGGTAAAAGTTCGTTTTTTCCCTGGTTCTGGGTTAATTAATTAATTCTTTATCTCACCCTGACAGCGCGGCGCCGTTTCGGCGCCGTCGCTGTCATTTCTTATCGGATTCGGTATGGTACGGAAATGGGACGACCTCATGTTCCTCCCCAGAACTTGAATCGCGACTATAGGCGCAGAAAATTTCACCTGGGTCCTTCGGCCTCTCATACTGTCTCTACGCTGCGTTCTACGCGACGTAAAGGCCGTGTAAATTTTGCCCTAGTCTTCACGATTGCCACGAGACTGAGACTGGCGCCTGATTCTCTGTCGTCCTTGGCTACCATCTACGGCCATTATCTATGTGATGTGGGCAGAAAACAAGCAAATATACAAGGCTTCAATGTTCGTACGCGGATCCATTGTTCCAGCCGCGGCTTCTAGAGAATATCGGTCCGGTATTCGCCTCACATTGGTACCAGATGGTTGGACAGCTTCCCCGCCTGTGACTTCTTCCGTTTATCAATGAAAAAAGAATTCGGTGAGTGGTTATGGTGCCTTACTCGAGTCTCCTAGATCTCCGATGCCTGGTGACCGCTGCAGGCTTGCCTTGCGTTCTGACATAACGTTAGACCCGAGCTCCGTCGCCGTCGTCAATCCACCTCATGGCCTGGCTGTGTGAGTTGGGCGCGAGCTTATCTCGAACTGACCCTTCCAACACATGCTAGAGCACCCTGTGATATGCCTCATTTGGTCTTTCGTGAATGCGAACGTCGCGGCTGAATTCCTATTTGCACCCAACATACTCCTCTCCCGGAAACTATTTGCGCCACCGATTTAATGCTCCCGCTCAGAATAGGGTTCATCGCGACGCTTCGTTCACTGCGGCCCTGCCTACCGAAGTTGAAACGGAATGTCGCTGGCTACACGTATATATTCGTGTTTTTAGTAGCACTATGTACACACTGTCAACTTCGAATCTGGCGCCGTCCAATTTTGGCATCTTGCGCTGCCGAAGAAACGCGATGCCATTGATTCATCTGAGGAAAATGACTCGAGCCGCATTATCACCCTCTAATTTGTATTACTACCTCCATCTAGCAGTAAACCACTGAATCGGCCCATGTTCCCGCGGGAGAACATCTAATCTAACAATATGGGCCAGTGACATTGAGGACTCTACGGGGTCATACCCTTCGGCCTACCTGCGGCACAGTTGTTTCCTCCGCTCCTGACCGGCAGGTGCGTTTGGTCTAGAGCACTGATTATCATCCTGTAAAATATCTAATCGCTTCGCTCTAGGTCTCAAGCGGCTGCTTCCCGTTTGCAAAGATGGGGAATGGAGCTAAGACGGAATGTCCCAATCCAACTGTTGTACTAGAGTCGCCTTTGGTCCCCTTGCAGTAGTTCTCAAACCATGAATCTATCGACTGGACATTGCCGCAGCCACCTCATGGGACGCGCATTCATTGTTGCTTGATGATTACGCGAATTGGTTGTTTTTCGTGTGCTGATTCAGTTTGATTTGGCTCTAGATTGGACGGGCAACTTGGAATATTTGGCGAATGCCGTCGCCATGTTCCGGTAAACCATCCGAGATGGTGCCCATCTCGCAACATCGGATCCTCGGACCTTACAGACCAGTCCCCGATTCTCAGGCCATTTTACGAGGGGCCTCTTGGCATTGACGGCGACTTCCTCGCAGATATCCAGTAACTGCCCATGCAGTTGACAACGTCTATGCACGTCTGCACAACAGTGCCACACCCATCTGACGGGCTCGATTCGCATGGGAACTGCCCGGCATTTCCAAAAGTGATGCGTGCGGTCTTGTGACCGACAAGAGAGGAAGCCCAATCTCGTGCGTTTTATAACCGCTCGATTTTCTATCGCTTTTACGTCAATTGGCAGGCTGCTGATTCTGATCCTGACGGTGTCAAGCTGATGATAACATCTTGTGCCCGTCTTTTGGTAACACATACTTCACAGGATGCGAGCCCAGATGACGACGCTATGCAGTCTACGGCCAGGACATTGCATCCTGTGCTCGGGTCATCCTCCCGGTTTTCCGATCCGTTCGCTGTCTCACCGGCAGCGGGTGAGAAGGAGGCCGCCACCTCGTCTTCCTTCGAGCCATTCATCGGATATTCTCTGGTGGTACACACGTTGCCTAGGTGGAGCTGAATGGCGGAATGTCGTAATTTGCTGTGAGAGATGGGGCCACGAGACTCATCCGCGAGCGACATTCCTGTCCACGACGTCGATTGTGTAGCTTCTAAGAGAGCTTAAATCAGTCGCCGGGTCTTCGAAAAAATCTATGATGCGAGAGTAACCTTAGAAGGTGTTTGTGGTGAGTAGCCCGTTCCGCCCAGCGGAGTGTGACCACCTCATGCTGAATCGATAGCATGTCATTACTGCGGCCTAGGCTCCTCTTGCGCGGACTCATGGGACAAGATGAGACGGGCCACCCAAATCCGCGCAAGCATCTCCGGCTCGCCTCGGACTAGCTCGCCGCGGGTTGTCTTCTGGCACCCGCCACCGCAGATACTCCTTCACCGCGCAGGTTCGAGTTTGTACCTAGCCCAATCAAGGCCAGCCCTGTGCGACCCCGGCCCGGGCGCAGCCGTCGCTATGAGCCCGTCAAGGACGGGCCCACAGCGACTGCAACTGATTGGAAGATCATGTTTCTGCTATTTGCAGATATTGAGGGACTAGCTGGGCACAGGCTAGTGTCATTTGACGGCTCTGGGTTGGCGGAGATGATCGTCACCCGGGAGTCATCAAACACTGGCGCGGGCCAGAACGCGGGTGGCGCAGCGGTAGCAGCCCGAGTGTGCGCGGTGCCTTCGGTGCGGTCTCGAGAAGGACGAGCGTGGGGGCTCTTCTACGCCACAAAGGCGCAGGGTTGCGCGCGCCTTCTTTTTCCACAGACACGAGTCATTCGAGATCAATGGTGCGCGGGATGTCGGTTCACGGACTCGCTGTCGGACCTTGGTCGTGGTCGCAGCGGAGAGGTTACGACACGAGCGTGAAACGGTGATTGGGTGCTCGCCCGCGAGCCAGAGCGGAGGAGCGGCGCAGTGAGCGAGGGTCCGGGCCGAGTGCCGAGCGCATCTCGGAGGGGATCTGGGAGGAGGTGGGACTGTGCCCGGCCTGCTCCTGCCTCCTGCGGCTCCTAGCGAGAGGCAGCTGGCATGCGGCGCGAAATTTGCAGCTCGCGCGAACAGAAGGCGCGTCGAGGTACGTACTGCGCCCGGCCAGCAACGAGATCCTTCCGCCGCGTGCTTGCATTACTCGCATTGCATAATGATGCTCGACGCTTGTGCGGCGACGCGTGCACACCTTGTGCTGCCTCATTTCCCGACGGAAGGCGACCGAGCGAACCAGGCACGCTCGCCCCCGTGGTCGGCTCATCCGGCAACGGCAGCCTCCTGCGCACCCTAAGTAACGCAATCCTCACGTACTGGACCCCCCCCGGATGATGCTGAAGTAGCTTTGCTGCCTCTGTGCCTCGGCGCCATGGCAGTGGAACGTCCGATGGAATGGGATGAAACGCACCCCACAATTATCAGATACTCGAATCGCGGTCTGCTGATCATCGCACTCGCGCAGTGCCCCAGTTCGAGGTCTCTTGCGACGTGCGCCAGGCAGGGCGGAACAGTATCAGCTCGCGACGATGGGCAGTAATAGAGAGATGTATTGCTAGAGGTATCTCCGATAAATGCGATGCGTACGTAGATGTAAGACGGTGCAACATAGATATGTTAAGTGTAACGAGTAAGCAAGCGAGCAACAATGCAGGACACCGGCAGAGCATGAGCAGTCATTGAGCGATACAGATACACGTGAGCAAAGTCCTCGGGCGGTGGGTCGGTAGTGCAGCGGGAAGGGCGGATGCAGAAGAGGGTACGAATGGAGTTAAGAGGACCGCGCCCGGCGTGCTCTGGGAAACTTTTCTAATGTCGTCAAACGTCGTCAAGGAGCCCCATCCACAGTGCGACAACGACGCAAAGCATCTTCGCCGCATCTTGTCGTCCTTCACGCATCTATGGTTGTGAGCCGACGACAACCTTGAGGACCATGCGGCCGTCGTCGTCGCGGCCCTTGCCCATGAGGTCGAACGCATGTGCGCTCTGCGAGAGGGGGAAGCGATGTGAGATGATGCTCTCGATGTTGGGGAGCTTCCCCGAGGCGAGGAGCGCGAGGGCGGTGGGATACGTGTTGGCGTAGCGGAACGTGCCCTGGATGTCGACTTCGCGCGTTGCGGCGGCAGAGATGGGGAGGGTGACATTGCGCGAGCCCATGCCAACGAGCATGACCTTGCCACCGGTCACAGCGGCCTGCGAAACGGGGCGGAGACGGAGCGGAGTATCAGCGTTAAAGTTTCGCGCGGAGACACGGAGAGAGAAGCGACGCACGTGGATGGCCATCTGGATACATGGCTCGGCCCCGGTGCATTCGAAGACGATGTCGAAGCCGTCGGGCATATCGAACTCGGCGAGCGCGGCCGCCGCGTTCTCCTTCGCGCGCCGAAGTTGCTCCTCGGTCGTCTTGGCCTTGTCGGGCACGGGCAAGCAGTACACCTGCTGCGCAAAGCCCTGCTGAAGCGCAAAGTCGAGACGCGCGCGGTTGATGTCGATCGCGACGACGCGGGACGCACCGTACGACTTGGCGAGGGCGCAGGCCAGGAGGCCAATCGCACCTACGCCAAATACGAGGACGGTCGACGGGGAGGACGGGGAGAGGTCTGCGCGACGGGCGGCATGGAGGAGGACTGAGAGGGGTTCCGCGAGGGCTGCCTGCTCGAACGAGCAGCTGTCTGGGAGACTGGGGGGTGGCACAAATAGCAAGGTTAGCGTCCGCTCGATCACGTGACAGGTGATGTGGGGGAATGTCGGGGGTGGCAGGGCCAGACAGGCAGGCACGAAAGCGCGAAATGCGAGGAGGACTCACGGGTGGAGGACATGCGCTGGGTGGTTCATGCGATCTTGAAGGGTGCCGTCGGAGTGGGGGAATGTTTTGGCGCTGCTGCAGAAGCGCATGTTCTTGCAGAGGTTGTATCTGCCCCTGGAGCAGTAGTTGCAGTTGTTGCACATGATGCCGGCTTCAATTGCGACGCGCTGGCCAGGGACGAA